ATTTATCATGTCTATGTTCAATTTCAGCTCAATTCCAAAAGCTAAGATCTAATGAAAAAGAATAAAGTATTAATAGTGGACAAACGAAGAGTGAACAAAAAGAACACAAATAAAGCAAGAATAAAGCAAGAAAAAAAGCACACAAAAAAAAAGAAAGATATCATCGATTCTAACTCAATTCATCATGTCTATAATAATTTCAGCTTAATTCCAAAATTCAAGACCCAGAAAAGAAAAAAAATTAGTACTAGGCAAACAAAAACAAAAACAAAAACAACAAGACTACCTGATTTTATCTATTTCGTCACGTCCATGTTCAATTCCAGCTCAATTCTAAAAGCCAAGCCTATTATATTCAATACCAAGAAAACAAAAAAACACAAAAAAAAAGTTACCAATCTCATCCTAATTCATTGTATCCATGTTAATTCCAGCTCAATTCCAAAATTCAAAACTTACAGGGAAGAAATAATATTAGTATAGGCGAACAAAAAGAAAAAAAAAAGATACAACCTGATTCTAACTTGACTTGTCATGTTAATATTCAATTCTAGAATTCAAGATCTATAGAGAAAGAAAAAAATATTAATATTGGCCAATAAAAAGAATACAAAAGTATCTCAATCTATCGCATTCATGTTGAATTCTAGCTCAATTCAAAAATTCAAGACCTATGGACAAAGAAAAAAAAAGTAGCACTGGGCAAACAAAAAGAACACAAAAAAGTAAAAGAGAAGATATATCCCAATTACATTTTGATTCATCGTGTTTATGTTCAATTCCAACTCAAATTCAAGACCAGAGAAAAAACATTAGTACCGGCAAACAAAAAAAATGCACACAAGAAAAAAAATATACTTTCTGTCGATTTGCTGTTGCCAATTCTAAGAAAGTACCTGAAGTTGCACTAATTATGCTTGTCCTGATTTGTCATAGCTATGCCTGTCCTGATTCATTAATTAAAACCTATAAAGAAAAAAGAAAAATCGGTAATATTAGCAAGCAAAAAGAGAAGTCCACAAGAAAAAAAGTTATCCTCCTGCTGATTAAACAATCTTCATTTCCAATTACTGTGTGTGTGTATATGTGTGTAACAGATCTAAGCGAAACTCGGTTTAAAAAAAGTGTGTATTAGTATTCAAGGCAAAAGAACCAAATGAAAAAAAAAATGAAGCACCTTATTTTAAATTGTTGGTACCCATTCTCAATTCTAGTTCTAGGCAAAACTAGAGATGTACCTCTTGCGCGAAATGCTAATATTATATAAATTAATTATATTATCTCATGCAAGAATCAATAGAATAGCATCAGAATTCGTGCAAGAGGCACATCTCTAGGCAAAATCTATGTTCAAAAAGAAAAAAAAACTATTAATAAAAAAACTAAAATGAAAAAAAAAGCAAGATAAAAAAAAAAGTACTAAAAAAAAAACAAAAAAAATCATGCCAAAAGAAAAATCACATCAAAAGAAAAGTTATGCCAAAAGAAAATCATGCCGAAAAAAAAATCGTGCTGGAAGAAAGTTAAAAGAATGAACACGTCCAGGTCCAAAAGTATTTAATCACCAATCTTAATTGTGATTGGTCGATTATAAACTGGTGATATATTGCACTGGCAATAAATAATAATTCTCTTAAATAATATTATTTAAAAAAAATTTAATTTATTTAATAAAAAATTAATTTTATATAGGGTTCCTAGGTTCAGTTCAGTTCAATTCAAGTTCAGGTTCAATGAATCTAAACTGAACTTAAATGTGAAAAACTTTGTTTTGGGATTATTTTTTTTTGCAATATTTTTTAAGTCTGTATTCATTGCTTTAACATTTTCTTGCAAGCTTGATGATCCTTTTTCAGGAACATATTTTTTAAACTGTTGCTATGACTGTTGTCTACTCTGCATATATATTTTAATCAACTGCATTAGTAAAAATTTTTCAGTATCCTCTGATAGACGATAATCATCATCATTTGTATAATACTGAAGTTTATATGATTTTTGCAAAAGAGTGTGATACTGTTCTTTTAAGAGCTAGTTGTTTGTTATATGATCATTAATATAGATTAAAATATCAGATTCGTATTCAATATGTTTTTCAAACAACTGAAGAACAAGTAACTCTAAATAATACATAAATTGAACAAATTCAATTCCTGAAACAATTGTTATTTTTTTTGAGTAAGTGTTATTTTCATACTCCACATTTTTGGTACTTAAAGCATCCAAACATGATCTTATTTTCATAAAGTCCTTATATGCTATTATTAAAGGATCACTTTTAACTAACTTATAGATAACCTACCCAATAATATACAGAAATTTCGAAGCTTCACATGGCTCTAAGGTAATAATTTTTTGAGATACAGTATAGCCCACAATTTTGTTTGATTTATAACCTGATCATTATATTGTTTATCATGTGATTGCTTAAATGAAAATTTGATTGTCTTTTCTAATAGTAGATAAGCTACTAATCACTGAACTTTTATAATAATATTAGTTGGAACTAATAATTGAAAATTACCAAACCAGTCGCCTGCACACTTATAGTTATTCAAATGACTTTTTAAATTCATTAACCATATAGCCATCTATTGGGTACTTTTTTTTGCTAGACAGAGTCTAGTGCTATTTGATGAATTTTTTTGGACTAGAAAATTAAAAAATCATTTATGCTGTTATGATTTAGTAAGTATTCAATTAGATATACTCTTTTAAGCTGCAAGTAATTTATAGCTATATTTTCTTTTTTAATTTTTTCATTATTAGAAGATAGAGGAAGCTGTACCTGTTCTATAACTAGGTCATCATCAAGAATTTCTTTAAATATTTGGCTGCTTAAAGTAAAAAGTGTCTCAATTTGAGTTTTGTAGTGAATAGATTTCTCTTGATACTGGTTTTCTGATCGTAATACTACTCGGTAATCTCTGTAAAAAATAAACCTTAAATTAATATACTTTATAAAAATAATATGTATCTCATCCTTAGATAATTACTATCTCGGTTTATATAAAAAATAAAAAATAAAATTAGTTTGCAATATTAATTTATCTTTGTTTTAAGCTAGTAAGCGTGCAACCTGAGCTATTAGCAGAACCATAATTTAGACTTTGTATTTCTGATGACATTTGCATTGTAATCATTAATTTATTCATAGCATATCTATCCTTTAAATTGTTTTGCAGCCAAATTTGCCTGCAAACTTAAAATTTTTTAATAAAATTTTAAATATTGATTTTAGCTATATCTTTTCTAAGTAAAATATTTAATTTGAGATTTG